TTTGCCATTTTTTTCTTCCCCTTGTGTTTGAATGCATCCTTTTACTTACTCTCCTGAGTGCTGATGAAGATAAGATACTCATGCAGGGAGAAAATGATGGAATTTGGGCTTGGACACGTTTCAATCAGTTGTTTAATTATCTCCCGCTTGCAGCATTGATAGAGAAGAAGATCATCTGCATGCACGGTGGAATCGGGAGGTCTATCAATTCAGTCGAACAAATAGAGAAACTTGAGAGACCCATAACAATGGATGCTGGATCAATTGTGCTAATGGATTTGTTATGGTATTCTTATATATCTTGTTATGGTATTATTATATATAGTCTCTTCGCGTGCTTTAATTTTGCTCGTATGCCATTCCTTAACGTTTTTTTGTATTTCTACTTAGGTCTGATCCCACTGAAAATGATAGCGTAGAGGGGTTGAGACCAAATGCAAGAGGACCTGGCCTCGTGACTTTTGGGGTATGCAGCGCGTAAAGCATCTTTCACATTACTTTTTATTAAATGTGTTGAATTTTATGCTTCAAAATGATTGCAGTGTACTTGCTTCTTTTTAATTATTTCCTCGAGTTGAGCGAAATGATAGGTCAATCCCGTGGCATGTCCTCTGCTGTGTTTTNCTGCTTTGTTTTTTTTTTTGTTTTTTTTATTTATTTTTTATTTTATTGTTCATCACTGTTCTCTGGATAAACAATTTTTATTTTTCAAAAGCTTCCTTGTCGAGGAAAAGTAGCTGTAGCCTTTCTATACAGTTGAATCTTAAATACTTTCACTAGCATAGAATATTTCCATGAATGAATGAACTGTGTACGCGTGGAAAGTCCCATTTTTTTTTTTGTTATTTGGAACTTTACTTTTTTTTATACCTGCCGTTTTGATGCTTGCTTTACTCAATGATTGACTGCAGCCTGATAGAGTCACGGACTTCTGTAAGAAGAACAAGTTGCAACTCATCGTAAGAGCTCATGAGTGTGTCATGGATGGATTCGAACGGTTTGCCCAAGGGCAGCTGATCACCCTTTTTTCAGCAACTAACTATTGTGGTATGCACTCAAAAAGTCAAAATTCATCGCTCTTTGTCTTTCTTTTTTTTTTTTTCTTTATTCTTTTTTGTCTTGTAGAGTAAAAAAAGGAATTGATTAATATTAATGCAAATTCATCAAGGAACGGCAAACAATGCTGGGGCAATATTGGTTGTGGGGCGAGGATTGGTAATTGTGCCTAAATTGATTCATCCCCTTCCGCCTCCTATTCAGTCTCCCGAGACATCTCCAGAACGCGTGAATGAGGAGACATGGATGCAGGTACATTATGCATTGTGTTAAGTACCCTTGAGAATTACTCTAGAATATGAAATGAGAGTACTTGTCTTTTCAAAATTGTGCTGTGCATGAAATAAGGCATAAATCATGGAAAGTATTTTGAAGACTAAATTTAGAGATTGTGGAGTGATTTTGGGATATGGATTGATTGTCTTTTGAAGGTGATTGCTATTTTGCTTTTATTATCATTACTTTTTTGTATAAATATAGGATCTCTAGTAGAGAAAGGTAGGCAATATGAATCATATTGTAATATTTGGGCAAGAAGAAGCTTCAAGCTTTTGGTTTCTATTGGTATGAAATAAAATTTCATGTTTCATTTTCTAGACTCTTTATTCTTATCAATTATCTATGTCGGTGGTTCGAATCCGGCAGGTCAGACCAATTGATAAGAATCAAGAAAATGAAATATGATTTTTTTTATTTTTTTTTTATTTTTTTTTTTATTTTTATTTTTTCCATACCAATGGTAACCAATAGCTTGAAGCTTCCCATCAGCACTTCTGCCCAACACTAACTACTCTTGTCCAATAGCCTTCTCTACTAGAGATCCTAAATCTAATATAGATCCTATATTTATATGTAACTGACATAATATAAAATGTAGTAATAATAAAAGTAAGATAACAATTATCTTCAAAAGACAATCAATTCATATCCCAAAATCACTCCACAATCTAAAGATTTATTTTATCCATTTTACAGATGGCAGTTTCTTGAGGTGTTGTGTCATACATTAAGGGATTTGGGAGGGTTAATTAAAATTTTACTGTGGAGGTTTAGTTTGGTTACGATGAACTGCAAACTAAAACTGTATCTCAAAATTATGGATGGTCAATTATTTTACCTATATGACTATATCATTTCCTTCTATTTATGGTCGGATTCGTATATCAATTGTAGGAACTTAACATTCAAAGACCTCCAACTCCAACGAGGGGTCGCCCGCAACCCGAACTTGACCGAAATTCACTTGCCTATATATGATGATGATGATGATGCTTCTTCCAAAAATGATGTCTTAATCAGGCAAGAGTTTAATTGTCAGCCATTACAAGAGCTTAATCGGTATCAATTTGATGGTGTACATAGGATTATCTTCTTTCTTTCTTTCTTTCTTTCTTTTTTTCTTTTTTTTTTCTATTTTTTGCATTGTATGCATAAGAAATACAGAATAATTTTACACAGTTAGTTTGTATTAGATTAAAATAGCCATTTGTCTGTCATTTGTGTAGGGTGAGCGTTACGATGAGTGAAATATAATTATTTAGAAGAAACTGAGTGAAATATAATTGTATTGCAATCATATATTTCATATGTTGTGTGTAGAGACAAGAGTATCACAAGGCTTTATGTTTTTGAGTTTTAAAGACTCGAAAATGGAGTAGTTTTCTTCACTGCACATAATATTGGCCATCGGTTTGCCCTAACATTGGGTGCTATGAAGCACATTTACCGATACGAATGTACTGTTTTTTTCTAAAATTTAAAGACATGATTATTATTAATGTGTTTGTATTATATATTTTAATTATATATCAGAATCACGAATAGTGTATTATTTTAATTTGCCTTTTATAAAATGTATAGCGCGTCCACATTAAAAGGAAAAAGAAAAAAAAAGCATGGCAGTGAAATGTAATTTAACTAGATTGGAATATACAAACAGCATCCTCAAAGCACAGCACAGCACAGTACAGAAACATTTTAGAGATCAAATTCAAGAAATCCTCAATTTATCCCAAAACCTCAAGGAACTAATCGGAGTCACAACTTCAAATGAATAACAAAACCTGAAAGTAAACCCATATCAGACATGTCAAAATCGAAATCGAATTCACCACAGCATTTTTCAAGGATTAAAGCCTAATTGCATAAAAAACACACAAAAAAAAAAATCATACAAATTTCACTGAGATCGAAACTTGTAATTGACGCAATCAGGAAATGGAGGTAGGCGAAGGACAGCTTCCTCAGTCTCAATCGGGTCCGATCTCGATATCTGAAAAGCATTAAACCCACAAATTAAAGAGGAAAAATAAATGCAAAAAAAAGAAGGATTTGATTGATCAAACACAAATGCGAAAAAATAATTAATTGGGAGATTGATTTTACAGGGTCTTGTAGTGGTGGCTTCGTGTCGTCTTTCGCGAGCCTGAAAAAGGGTTTTTTCCGGTGAGTGTCTTCTCTCTTTACTTCTCTTTGGCCGTCGCTGGATTTTGTCGGAACTTGAGATGGATTCATTCTTCTGTTTCACTTATGAGCTTTTTTTTTTGGTTCCTTTTCTATATAGGGCATGTTTGGTTTTCAGTTTTGGCAAGCTTTATTTGTACCAACTTTTGGCTCAAAACAAGTTTCATCAAGGTTTTCCTATAATTTTGATCGGTCATCCAATCTATTAAACTGCAAAATCTAACTATACAATATTAAGAATTTTTTATTAAAAAATAAAATAATAAAAAAGGTTTAATTTTCAACTACTTTTTTTTAAAAAAAAATAAACTATATTATTATTTATATTTAAAATGATACCCGTCATTTATACGACTTACCGTTTTATATATAATAATTTTTTTTTAACTTATATCATATAAACATTTTGTAGTTAAATTAATTTAAATAATTTGTTTTCCAGTTAATATTAATAAATAATTCAATTTTATTATAAATATATGTATAATTATTTTATTTATTTTTATGTACAATATAGATGTCATATTGAAGCTACATTATTAATTTGATATATTATATATAAAAAAAACTGACAATAAATAAAAAATTATTACCTTTTAAATATATTTATAATTAAGTTAGTAAATTTTTTATAATTATAAAAGAGAGATTGAAAAAAAGAAAAATTAGGAAAAAAAATGCCTTATAAACCACATCTATAATAGAAATTAATATTATAACATACAATATGTATAGAAATGTAAAAAATATTTACAATATATTAATAATTAAAATTTATTTTCTATGCTCCTTTAATTTAAATTAAAAATATTATTTATTTATTGCAAAAATGTACTAACAAACCTTATAATTTATATTTTAGATAAATTTTTTAAAATATTTATAATGATTTACTCGTTTGGTCTCTTAATTGTAAATCGATTAGTGATTTATAAACCTATTTTTAATTTTAGTTGGAATGTTACATTTTCTAATGTTGATTTTTTACTTTTTCTTTAGTGTAATCACATGTTTTTAAATTTATATATATTTTTTTCATTTGATAAGCTCTCATTAACAAAAATGATATGCAATGTGCTACAAAAGTTCAATATAAATCAATTTTTCAACCAAAAAAATTTATTTTTCCATAAAATATGGATGTTAAATATATATTATAAATACACTAAATCTCTCTTTTTTTTTTCTTAAGTTTGTAGGTGATACGGATTCTAAGTTTTTAAAAACTTGATGGTATACATGTCGATCTTTATATATTTATAGTTTTTATATGAAATGAGCGTTTTGACTTAAACCACAAGCTCGTTATAAAATTAAAATCGGACCCCTGACTGAAATTCCTAAATTCATAACTGGGTCCGACCGGCCAATTCTTGACCGGTTCAACCAGTTTTTGTCCTTTATATCTTGATTTATATCATTTATTTTTATTTTTATTTTCTTAGACAAAATATTTTTTAGTTTAATTTCTTAGTTTGTATTTAATTTGTCAATTTATTTAGTCTAGATAATGTTTAAACGTCATTATTTTAGTATTTAATCAATTTAATTACAATATCTGTAGAATACAACTTTGCTCGTCGCTTGCTATAATTAATCCGTACACTTACGGTAGCGAAAATAATTGGTGAATACCTGATTGCATCAATTACAGTTTCGATCCCAATCATTTTCGTACGCCTATCTTTTTATTTTGTTTCATCTTTCGATTTTTTTCGTGTTTATGTGTTTTGATGCAATTAAGGTTTTCGTAATCCTTGAAAATGCTGTGGTGAATTCGATTTCGATTAGGGATGAAAAAACGACGTAGACCCTACATGAACTGGCCTGACCCTGAGCATTTGGGGCAAGCCACACTTGCCCTGTTTCTAAAACGGGTCAAACATGTCCTGACCTGTGAGCTAAGTGGGCCAAATCCGAGTCCTGTATCCTGTCCCGCCCGACCCGTCTTCTAATTTTTTTTGTATAATTTTTATATTGCATAATATATATATATAAGGCAAAAGATATATAGGGTTTGGTACTTTACTACTTTGGAAGAATTTTCTGGTCTCTTTCGTACTGTTTGGTTCGAAGGAAACTGAGGAGAGGGGAAGGGAGGTGAGGGAATTTCTTACTTTTCCACTGTTTGGTTCAATTTTTGGTATAGAAGGGAGGTGAAATTTTTCCCTCAGATTCCCTCCCCGGCGGAAAAATGGCTCCCTTCCAATTTTGGGGGAATTTGGAGGGGAAGGAAAAAATTGTGTCTAATTGTACTAATTTGCCCTTATCAACTCATTATAATTACAAAATTACAGCATATAAATAAAACCTAACCCTATTTTCTGCTCATTTGTGACCTGCCAGAAGAGAGGGATTGCGAGAACAGGGGTTCTGCTAGAAGGGTCTGCACACAATCAACAAATCGAGTTCATTCGTGGTTCGTTGATTCCAGCTTCTCCTAGGTAATCTTATTCTTGAACTTCTGTCAATTTGCGAGCTTAAGTAATTTTTTGGAGTCTTATATGTAAAACCTACTTCCTGTTTTCTGTGTTTCATTTGAATGAATTGAGAAAAAATAAGGGCAACAATAGTGCTGTGAATTTGTTGTTCATTTATTTGTTAATTTTGATATTAGCTACTCAATCTTATTTGTTTTGAATGATGGAGAAACTACATTGAAATGTTGAAGTTGAATAAAAAAAATGGAAGTGTACTCTTTGTCAAACACAAACACAAATTTTAAATCCTAAGCCAAACAAAAAAAATAAAAAATCGAGGGAAGCTACTGTTTAGAGTTGCAATTGAACCAGTTAGATCATCTATCTGAATAATTAGTGCTGTTGCTTGAAGTGAAAGTTGTTGTTGGTCTTTTGGTTCTAAAATGTTAATTTTGGATAAGTTCCAAACATGTTCTAATTGTGTGGAGAAGATTGAATATTATATAGATGGTAATATTGTTGTATATTTATATTATTTTTTATTTCACGGTGATTTTATTAATTAAGTACTGCTAATATTTATTAATTGAGTACTACTAATATTTATTGATTGTTGACCTTATTCATTTGCTACAAGTACTAGTGAAATTCCTTTTTATGCTAGTTGTTAATGAAGGCTTGTGTGTGTGTTGAATTTGGTTTTCTTATTCGTTTGATATATGTTGTTCTAGTATGTGTTAAAAAATAACACCTTCTTTAAAGCTAACTTTTTCTCTATGTGGTTGCATTAAGTATGGATAACTTTGAAGAAAGATGGTACGATCTTCGCCGGAGAGTTGTGGTCCACCTAATATGCATAATTGCCTTTTATTGTTGCATTAAGGCTCCCTCTAAAAAAAAGGTTACTTATAGCATGAGTTCAAAGAGAGAAAAGACGTGTTAGGAAATACTTTACAGGATTACTAATAATAAAGGTAGTAAGAATATTACTAGAGTGAGTCCAAGAGCTTTCACGAGCTTATGTGCTATATTAGAAAGAGATGGTGGGCTAAAACCTACGCGATGGTCAAGCGTGGAAGAACAAGTTGCCAAAACGTTATACATATTAACGCATAAAGCAAAGAATCGTGAGGTGAACTTTTGGTTTTGATGTTCTGGTGAAACGATTAGTCCACATTTCCATCAAGTATTGAGGGCTATAATTGAGTGTGGAGATAAATTACTTGTACAACCTGATGGTTCAACCGTGCCAGACGAAATTCATAACAGTAATCGGTTCTACCCTTATTTTAAGGTAATTGTTTGTCATTGATGAATAAATTTAGTTAAACTTTATTTTTTTCCTTTTTAATTAATAATAATTTAAAATGTCAAGACAGTGTTGGTGCTATTGATGGAACTCATATACGTGCAAAGGTGTCTAAATTAGATGCTCCTCGTTATCGTGGGAGAAAGAAATTTCCAACACAAAATGTCTTAGCTGCTTGTACATTCGATTTAAAATTCACATATGTGCTTTTCGGATGGGAAGGCACTGCCTCTGATTCAAAAATTATAAAAAATGCATTAAGGAGAGAAGATAGACTAAAAATCCCTGAAGGTAATTGGAGTTGTAATCTAAAAATGTATTATATATAACTTTATCTATTATGACACAATAATTTCTCATAGTAAGAATTATAATTTTTTGTTATAATTATAGGAAAATATTATCTTGTAGATGTTGGATTCATGTTAACGAGTGGACTGATTACACCTTATAGAGGAGTTCAGTATCATTTGAAAGAATATTCGGCGAAAAATCCACCAAGAAATTTTAAGGAATTGTTCAATCTTCGTCATGCATCCTTACGTAATGCAATGAAAAGAGCCTTTGGTGCATTGAAAAAACGTTTTGAAATATTATCTTCAGGTGCAGAACCCAATTTTGGAGTGAAAGCCCAGAAATTCATTATTGTTGCATGTTGCATTCTTCATAATTATCTAATGAGTGTGGACCCTGATGAAGAACTTATTGCTGAGGTAGATGATGAACTTGCCAGACAAAATCCAACTGAAGATGATAGTTATGTTCTCAGATCAGATAGCGAAAAGGGTGCTCGGGGAGAGTTTATAAGGGATTGTATAGCAAATGAGATGTGGTTAAATTATGATCTTGATAATTCATAATGTATGGTTTGCACAATTTCAGTGAGTTTGTTTGCTAGTTGACTTGAATGCATTGTCTTAATTATTTGTTTATTTGAACTTGATTGCTTTTATTTATATGAGATGTTTTGAGTAATAAAGTGTTATCTTTTGTGGTTGGAATTGCTGCCATTTAAGTTTTTGGTTTTATTTCTAATGTGTAGGTCTCATTTGTTTTAACTTTGTAGAAATGGGTCCTAAGAAGTCTTCAAGTCCAAATATATCAGGGAAAGAGAACTTAATTTGGACAAGAAGTATGGATGATGCTCTCATTGATGCTTTTGTTAATGAATATAACTGTGGTAATAAAGTTAATGGTACTTTCACTAGTACCGCATATGAGAACATTGTGAAGGAGCTTAGTGCGTTGTTTGGCAAGAATATTGATAAGGAGAAAGTGAAAAATCGATGGAAAACATTGAAAAGCAAATTTTCAGAAGTCTATGATATTTTTAATAGTACTGGAATGAGCGGGTTTGCTTGGAATTCAACTACAAAACTATGGGATGCAGAGCCACAAGTATGGGATGCTTTGATTGAGGTTTGTAATAATTAATGTTTCATGTATATCAGTCTTATTATCATGTGTGTCAACTTGTACTTTAATTCTATATTTCTTTATGTTTTTTTTCTTAACAGGCGAAACCAAAGGCAGCAACATTGAGATTTATCCCATTTCCAAATTATGAGAAAATGGTGCTTTTATATGGAAATGATAGAGCAACTGGTGAGGATGCGGAGACCGCATTTGAGATGAGAAAGAGGCGAGCTTCATCTACTGAGAATCTATTTACCACAACAATCGATGAGGTTGACAACCTTGTATCTCAAAACGAAGTTGTCTTGGAAAATAATTGGGATTCTATTGACGTGGATAATGATATCTTCAGTTTCTTTACTCAACATGGTTCAAAGGGGGCAAATAGTGGAGCAACTAGTAAGAAAAGAAAAAAGGAAGATGCAATGAAGGATAAAGTGTTCGTGTTTGAGATTATGAAAGGAGCAATAGATAACGTTGCCACTGCGCTACGAGAAGGTAATGAGCTATTCAAAGACATGTACTCTCGTAAAGTTCCCCCAATTTCTGGCGAAGAAACTTGGGCTTTAATTAAGGAATGCGGGTTTGAAAGTAATTTACTCACTGACACTTATTGCTTTCTTATGAACGACACCGACAAACTTCGATGTGTTGTTCAATATCCGTCAGAAGCTCGTAAGGATGTTATCATGAGAATGATGTTTGACCCATCCAATCCACCATTGTGAGCTTGTTTTCACATGTCTTGGAATTTTAAAACTTAAGTTAGTTCATTTGAAGTTTATGTTGTTATTGTGGTTGAAAGAATCTCTCGCTTTTGTTTGTTTTGAGAACTAATTAGGTAAAATAGCTTGACTGAAGGAGGGGAATTATTTTGTGTATTTTGATGCGGTTATGGCCGTACGGATGTTTGTAGGATTTAACTATGCTTTTGCTATGTTTATGTATGACATTTTATACTTATATTCAATCCTGAGACACAGGTACGGTACTCTGTTTCCTTGGTTGAATAGTGTAAATTAGCAGTGTGGATCAAGTTATCTGCCTTTATGAAATATCTATTTATTATTTTGTGGTGAATATAAGAGGATGAATATAAGAAGAAAATGGAGAATGCTCTCCACCAAAATATCTGATTTTTACATTTACTTAACTCACTTTTGACTCATAAAAGTAAAATATACACATAGGGGAGTTGGGGGTTGAAACTGTAGTTCATTACTTTATTAATATAATTTTCAAAATTGTAGTCCATTTTTTTCTACCCTCAACATTATGTTAATAATATTAATACCTCAATTTTAAAAGCTTTTGGGTAGAAGATTTAAATTCATTTTTTTTTTTTTATTGGGTGAGAGATTTAAATAAAAAATCATTTTATACGATTATAAATGTGATGTAATGTGTGAAATAAGAAGACTGTGATGTATTATACTTGAATTTATGTCATTATTTATGTTACTATAAGATGATTTTTTGTATAAATGTTATATTCTTGTAACATGTTGGGTGCTAAATTATTGAATTCCAAAGCCATAATCTAAATATTATATTTAAGTTTTATGTTTTGTAAATATAATATTACATATTCCCTCATATTTTAAATATTTGTCATCCTGGCTATCAACACACTAATTAAGAAATATTTTTCTTTCCAAGTTTAACCCTATTTAATGACACAATTGTGGATGGATGTTCTTGGGAATATAAAGAGCCAATGGATATTGATGGAGGGGTTAAAAAATAAAAATATGAACAAAATAGTCAAAATGACATTTATTTAACAAATGATCAATTAAGTTAGAATGACAAATATTAAAAATAGGAGGGAGTAATAAAGAAAGGTATATTTGTCCATGTAATTTTATTTTCCCTCCCCTTCCATCATCTAACCAAACAAAATTAATCATTCTCCCCTCCTACAAAATCCCTCCCTTCTTACAAAATCCCTCCAAGGAAAATTACTTTTCCTCCCTTCCCCTCCCCTCCCTTCCTTTCAACCAAACATACCCTTTGTCTCACTCCCGCATCCTCCCGCTTCCTCACCTGCTCTGCTCACGCACACACAGTCACGCCTCCGCCTCTCCTCAGTTCTGACCTCTGAGTCCGACGCCTCGACGGCTCCAATGCCAAAGCTCGAAAGCTGTCCGGCTGCTCCGCACCTCGCCTAGACGGCCGACGCCGCGCCCTCGCCTCACCTCCGACGCCAAAGCTCGGAAGCTCCGGCTGCTCTGCCTCCGCGCCTCGCCTCGACGGCCGACCCCCCCTTTGGGACACCATCACACCGGCTCAGCCTAGAGACTCCCCGCGTTCGACTCCAATTTCAGATTCTGTCTAATGGTAATTGCTACATTTTCTCAAGAAATAAAAATGTTTTATGTATTAGTAATCTAGCAGTTCCGAATCCCAATCTACATAATAGTTCTTCAATATTAAGTATAGAATTAGTAAATCAATGCTTAGAAGTTGGAAATGATTTGTGGTTAAATATTATGTCCGTATATTGTAAATTTTGTGAAAAACTTCAGTTCAATGGATTATTTCTTGAATGCATACTACTTTCTGTTTGTGAAAATGCCTGTGTCAACCTTATCAAACCTTTTGTTTGCCTACTTTTTGTACGGTCAGGGCGGTCCAGAATCGGGTCACGGAGCGGGCCGACCCGCCTCCGAGCCCGCAGGTACCCGGCCCGACCTGGCCCATTGTCATCCCTCATTTTGATTATGACATATCTGAATGTGGTGTGGAGTGATAGTGTATAAAATTGGAGTACTAATAGAGTAATAACATTTAAGTTGGGTACTGAAATTGCTAATAGCTCAAACAGTTGTGTACACCCAAAATTCCCCAAACCCAACAAGCAAAAGTTGAACTCTTTTGGACATTGTTTTTGGCAGCTTCAACTCAACACCGAATCGAAAACACTCCTCTTCTGTCTTCACATAGTAACATTTCCTTTAAATGTGTAATCTAGCAGTCTTGAATTGTATCCGCCCATAAATCCGGACCTGGAGACAACAATCCAGCCTCTGCAGGTTTGCATCCATTCTAAACACCTAGGTTTGTTGATGTGAAACATTGATTAAGCGTTTTCATCATCTCTTTTTTATTTTATGATTTTTTCGGTGGAGAAATGAGTATATTTTCCATAACTTACTTTTTCTTTTGTTTATTGGGATGTGAAAACGAGAGGGAGGAATTATCATGCATTTGAGTTGTTTATACTTGTCCAGAATCTTCAGTAATTGAAAAAGGATTGTGTAGAAGGTGCTCGTTAATCTTCTATTATGTTCTTTTACCTCAATATGTTCCAAATTTTACTTTTCTTTGTTGGGTTTTTGAAATGTCAATTTCGGTTTCTTCATGCCCCCATTTATTTAGCAGATAAATCTGTTAGTTGACGGTGGTTTACTGATAGGTACACAGATAATAGGTAAAAGAAAAATGGAATGATAAACTTATAAATTCTGCATGTCTTTGTTTAAAGATATAGGGAGGTATTTGGCTCCCCAAATATAGAGACCCACGTCAAAATATCGTCAGTGACCAGTTTGTGGAGGAAGTAAGGAGGCTGTTTGAGCAATTTTACTGGATTTGTTTCCCTAAAGTTGCAAAGGAGAGTATAAGGAGGCTCTTGGACTCTAAAACCGCCAAGCAGTTTCCGTGCTGTTTTAATACAGTCTGGGAAGATATGAAGGAAATCATTACTATCCAATTGGGAAACTATGCAAATTTTGTGGGCTCTCACTTCTGGAACTTCCAGGTACTCAACACTTTCACATCTTAAACATCTACCTGTTAATAGTTTCAAATGTCCAAGAGACCTCTATTCTACTTGTTCAGGTTGTGTATGACTATGTATGTCCCCTGTTTGAGTATACGGATAAATTAAGGGTCACCACCTTTTTTATGCCATGTGTAATATGTGCTTACACATTGATTGAATAACTTAATGCTTAATATAACTATATTTTTCAGTGGTTACTGACTTTAGAATCTTTTAAGTTTTCCGATAGAGTGCTGTGTTGCATTCTATTTCTTATCTCCCTCCCCCCTTTTCGCGTGTCTGCATTTTCCTTTCTGTTATCTTTCCAAGTATTTAACATGATGCTCTTATATTTAATTTGATGCTCAGGCACTTGTTCAGACTGATCGTTTCCATGTAAATAGTTAAAAGATGACATTTTTTTTGCCTTTTATCTTGAAGGATGAGCTGCTTGGATTAGCTGACAGCCCTGACAGTGACCAGATATTTAGAAATCATGGCCTTAACATGGACATCCTTTATCGCATGGGTGAAACTCAGCAGGTTAGTCCTTTTGTAATTAAACACGTAGCAGTGCTCTTTTCTACACATTGTCAAGTCATGACTTGCTCAAATCACATTTTGACATTTTTAGTCCATGTGCTCATTTGTTATAAATGGTGTTGTTTCTTTTGCGTTTGTCATCTCCAGGGTATTTTGACGTACACCCCTCGTTTGGTGTCTGTGGATTTTCAAGGTACAAGATACTGTTAATTTGAACCACTGCTCAAAACTCCTTGTGTTGTGGTGCATTTTGTTAGCTGTCTCTGTCTCTGATTGAACTGCTTGGAATATATTTCCACTGTGAGTTCTGTTAATAATTGGATTTGGCTGGTGATTAAAATTGCACTAGCCTTTCAAGTTATATTGACTATTTTTATCCCTGTCAATGGACATGGATTATGTCCGAGTTAGGGTTTCTACATTCTGTTCATGGTTCTTTCTTGATCATGTTTCATGGTTGGATATGAGATTCTTGATCTGTTGTTTCATGCTTGAAGGCAATGAAGTTAGATGAATCCTTGTTGTGTAATGAGAAGTTTACTTTCTTATATTCTGAGGCTCTGCATTTCAGCTTTTACATCAAGGAAGCAACAAAAGAGTTGATGGAAAAGAGAAACCTTGACTCTGATTATATGTTCCATTAACCTAGTTGATTCATTCATCCTATGTACTACAGATCTTCCAAGAAAAGTCGCAGTTGTGTTTTGTGTTTCTAGTTTAGGTTGGATCAAGTTAGATTTGGATATATATATTTCAGAGGAGGTCTGAAATGAGATAGCCCGGCCAGTGGTCCCTCCAATTTCAGATCAAACATGGGAATTTGGGTATTTTTGCCCTAATTGTAAAACCCTAGTTCTTGATTGTTCTGGTGATGCTGTGTTTCTGCTTGGTTTGAACGATAGTGGAGATAATATTTAGGGCCTCAGTTTCCAAACATCTTAAAACGTATCAAATTTGCCAATGTAGTTTATATATTTCTTTCTAAAAACTGGATGGGATTTGGAGGAGAGGCGTGCTCTCAGGCGCCTTTTGCCATGAAAAGGCGGCACGAGGCGCCCTTCTCAGGCAGCGGCAAGGTGATTTTACATTGCATCTGTCTCTTCGTACCATGGTTGTGCCATAAAAAAATTTAGGTATCCGATGACATATTTGGCTGCTTGGTTATTGTTTGGGTTAATCATGTGAATTTGTAAAAAGTAATTTTCTCGTCTAGCATTAACCTGATACATGCGTTGCCCTACAGGCTCCCTTGGAACGGTGAGTTCACACGGAACTTTATACAATGATATTCCAGAAACTTCACATGATATTTCAACATGGTGAGACTCTAAATCCTCTCACATTTTTACATTAATTTTCTTTTAGAAGTTTACCAGGAAGAGCAACTTATAGCATCTTGATACTCTGGCTTCCATTTTCTGGGAACTTTTTAACCTATGTCTTAGCTATAACTATTTTAATTTTATTCACGCCGCTTTCTTTTATACACATTATTTTAGTGTGCAGTTAAGGAACTTTTGTGTATTGAGGCTAATAGACAATAGGAAGCATCATAAACTTGTTCGTCTATGGCTTATTGAGTTTATGTATTCTCTGTTTTTCTCCAAGTTCTGATCAAACTATCTCATTTATAGTGAAAGTTTCTTGGTCCTTTAACTTAGAGTTACATACAATCTTTATGTTACAATACATTATCAGGATATCCAGAATCCTGTGAGGTCTCTTTGTTGGTTTATTTCCTATGAACTTCATTTGCACCATCTCTCAAAATCCACCTCTTTGGCTTAACAATTTGACATCACACCACCAATATTTTACGTCTACACATTACTTTCTATATCACGCTTACATGTTTGAGACTTTAGTGTACGCTCATCAATAATGCGTGTAACTTTGTATCAAAATATTTGGTGGGATGCTTGTATTTTAGATATGTTTCTATTTCTGATAGCTGTTCTTGGAACTTATAAGGGTGGATAGAGATCCTGTTCAAATGCCTTTTGGCTATTGGTCCTGTTACTCCTGTATGTTCTCTAATGTTGGGGATGTTGAGTTATAATCTCTGTGTCACTTGGGTTATTACGTCTTACCTAAGTACTTTAAATCTTTTATGTGCGAGGCATTTGATTCGTCATTAATCTCAGACGTTGGTCCATTTAACTTCTGGTTAGATGTTCAATCTTGATGAAAATTGAAGAGATCTGTCCACTTTATTTCTAAATGCCTTATAACGCTAAATTTATTGTTTTTGCTGCTGCTTTTGTGAATTCAAATATTATATAAGCATTATAGCTCTACTTTCTATAATTTACATGTTAGATTAAGTTGTTCTTTTCTGTCTGATTTTACACTTGTATGGGCTAAATAGCTTCAGACAATGTGTAGGACAGGTCCTGTAACAACTCATAAGTCTCAACCTTCGAAAAAGAACTTATTCTTGCAAAGCCTGTATGATGAGGAGGGTTCGAAGTCAGGTAGCTCCATGAGCTGTGAGAGTAGGAACAACAATTCTCGTACTGAAGTTCAAGATAAAGACATAGTTGATTGTCTGGAAAACAGTGTCCTTTATTGGACAGACTTTTCAAAAGTTCATTATCACCCTCAGAGTATATATGAGTTGAGTGGATTGTGGTCAGATGTCCAAGATTTTAACAATTATGGGATTGGGAGAGAGGCATTTTCTGGGGGTCTTCGAGCAGATGAAATCAGTGAAAGGCTGCGTTTTTTTGTTGAAGAATGTGACCTTCCCCAGGTGCTCCTTCTGACTTATTGCCCTACGTCCTCTTTGTTTTTCCAGTTATGTTTCTCCTTCTTATATTTTGAGCATGGCTATATTTTGATGTGTTTCCTAGGTAGTTGCTGATTGCGAAATCCTGATCTAAATTAATTAGCGACTGGAAAATCTTAATTTATGTTCGACATGTCTTTTGTGGTTTGCACTGTTAATTATCTCCTAATACTTCAACATTGAAGTCAACTTGGATTCTCTTGTATTGTTTGCCATATGAAATTTACTTGTCTCTTTCGTAAAGAAGAATAAAAATGCCCTAGTGGTAGATGTTGCCGAGATGTTCAGGTGGTGTAACTAGACCTTAATATCTCTCTGTCTTTCTCTCCCTTCTTTCCCATTTTACATAGGATAAGCTAGACTGTGATGCAAATTATTTGGTCCTCTCAAGTTTCATCCTTCCACGCCAGTGAATTTCTACTTACCGTTTGTTTTTAATTTTTTTTATAGGGATTTCAGTTTATTGTTGACGACTCTGGAGGGTTTTCTGGTGTAGCGGCGGAGTTTTTAGAGAATATTTCTGATGAGTACACGAATATTCCAGTTCTACTTTATTCTGTCCGCAGTCCTGAGTTCTGCTCGGATCCAGGAAGCCGAAAACAGACGATATCTCGTAAACTTCATAATGCCGTTTCTTTTACAAAGCTATCTGCTTTCTGTAAATTGATTGCCCCTGTTGGTTTGCCATCCCTCAATGTTGGTAAGTACTGATATCATTTGAGTGGCTTACTTATCTTTTTTTCCCTTGTTTCTCTCTTATCGCGTAAAATTAGTTTTACCATAGGCTGAAGGGCAGTAATTTGTGTTATATCTTGTCTCTTTCACGCGGTGAAATGTGCTAATGCTTTCCCATTATCACACATGGGTGGCCTGCATTATATTTTAGGTTATTGTTTGCTTAAGGATTTGATGGTTACTGGTTAAGCACCTAAATTTTGACACAGTTTCTAGTCTTACTAATTATAAGAATCTGAGCCTGAGGTATATGGTAAACTGTATGTTTCGTGGCAAGATATGCATTCAGTTATACTGTTCTTATTTTGTCAAAGAAATTCCCATCTCTATTACCTATTGCTCCCCACAGGAATTTTATAAGATTAAAACTTAAGTGTATCGCTTTAATGGTCTGAATAACCGCCACAGTCCCCTAAAGTTGAAAAAACGTTGAAAACCCTATAGAAGAATTAAAATAATTATAAACCTGAAAAAGAATCTTAAAGTTTTGATGGATAGAAACTAAAAAACTTAATGAATAACATTCCTTAAACACGTAAAGAGCTGAAAAGGCCCTAAGAACAATTAAATAAACAAAAACCCAAAATTGAAAAAAAAAAAAATCTAAAAACTGGAAAGGTAAATCTCGGGCGCTCGGGTGGATATTCTGACACAAGTTTTCTTCCAAAACTGAAAGAAAATGTTGTGTGTGATGTATAATTCTCTTTTACCACTTCCTTTTCACTTTTAACCTAAATTGTACTTATCCTATCTTGTCATTTCGAATCTTGAAGGTAGAATGTCCAAGTATCTGCATTTGGAAGATGGAAAGCCTTATCACACAAGTTCAGTTTATGCATCTGCTATACACTCCATCAGCCTCCCTTTCAGAATGCAACCAATTGGGCCCAGTGCACAATTTAGCTGCACATCTGGTGCAGTTGACATAAAAGAGCTTGTACAAATGTTAGCCAGTGGCGCCCGACAGAATACGGTTACTTCTCTGGAAGTTTCTATGCCGGCTCCCACTTTTTCAGGTAATAAAGTTTGAAGTTTGACTGTTCCCTTTTCCTGCCGAATTAGCTGCACTTTCTAAAATTATTTAACTTTGAAAAAATCAGGTATGCAATCCCAGCAAAGTTTGTTGGAGAATTTGCAGCCACTAAATCCAGAAATAGCTGATGTTGAAGACATGCATGCTTTGGAGGCTATGGTTGTACATGGAGCCTTTGCATCTGGTAATATTCTTTTTTCATCATTTATGGATACGTATGTATGAATTGTGCATGTTAAATTAATTGACCTATTTAACAAATGAACGTAATAATATTTAAAATGGCTGATTTTTTTTAACCATCAATATCATTTATCAAAATTACCCCCGATCAAAGTTAAGAATAAAAAGACAGGACATTCTGTTCCTACATATTTTTGTTATGCATACGCCACTTAATGAAGTTTCTATGCTAATCTAAGCGGGGTCACCTGTTATTATATTCAGACAATATTATGAGAAATCATTAATTGAATAATTCGAAATTCTCTAGAGTTCACTAATGAGATAATCTTGTCTTTTGCATTGAATACTGAAAACGGAAGGTCAAATACTGATCAGAAAAGGATAAATACTTGTATTTTAGAACTTCGCAACCTGACAGGACCCTATTCTCGAACCCTCTTCCTTGAATAAACGCTACTAAATACTCGTATTAACAGTGAACCCTCGGGCCAATTTTTTTTTTTTCTTGATTTGTTTTTTGCTTATTCAATCTCAGGATCCAAAAGGGCCTCGATTTCAGAAGCAAAAGATGCAGTACAGGCTGCATACTATGCAAGCGCGATAGAGAAGAAGCCCAAATTCTCTCATTTATCCATAGCTCAATGTCCTCTCCCCATACCTTTACCTTTCCCTTCAATATTCAAAAATCTCGTGGGTCAACACGGTGAGCTTTCGAACACTCCAATTTCAGATTGTCCATTTACAAGAGGTTCCCTCGAGGTACATTCTGTTCCTATGGCAGCAAGACTTCGTTCGAGTAATGCGATTTTGCCCTTTTTGGAGGGTAGATTTGAAAACCTCCGTAAGTTTGGGATATCTCGTGGGGCTTTAGGTGCCGAGCTGCTTAAAAGTTGGGGTTTCGAGAGAGAGGATGTTGAGGAGATGGGGGAGACTTTGTCTGGGATGGTGATGGCGTTAAGTTCCGGCTCTCAAATGTCATCTGATTCTGATTAGTACAATGCTGTTGTGGGAATGAAGCTTTTTGTTCCCAACAAAGTGAAAAACTAGTGATTTTGATTAGCAACATCTGATTCCTTCTACCCTTTTGTCAGAAACTGTGTCATCAGTGTTTAAATTTGAGAGCTTTGGTCTATAGTGNTTTATTTATAGAATGGTTGACTTTTATGTGTGGGGACTGTGGAGTAGTACTCTTTTAAGGGCAAAAGACTTGTTGCTCACTCTTTATCACTTCTCTATGTTTTTACATATTTGTTCAATCCTTCACTTCTCTGCCCTTTTGCTCCTTTTCTTTTTCTTCTTCATTATTTATTTATTTATTCCGTACACAACTCTCTTATATTTTTAATAATGGGTAAAGTCCACTTTTGGTCCTCCATGTTTAGGGGGTATCCAGACTGAGTCCCTATTATGTTTTGGTGCCCAATTTTAGTCCTTAAAACAAAAAAATGAGTCCCTATTATGTTTTGGTGCCCGATTTTAGTCCTTAAAACAAAAAAATGAGTCCCTATTATGTTTTGGTGCCCAATTTTAGTCCTTAAAACAAAAAAATGAATCTCTATTATGTTTTGGTGCCTAATTTTAGTCCAAAAAAAAATGTAGTCCCTTTACCTCAATTTCTGTGAATTAATGGTCCATTTTTGCTCGACTGTGATGTTCTTTATTTTTTTAAAATTTGTTGATTAATGTCAACTTTAACCAAAGAAAAATAAAAGAAAATTTAAATGCTGAAAATATATTAATAAAAAATTAAACTAAAACAAGAAATTGCACTAAATTAAATTAAAATTTTTGCTCGTCTGATTTCTATTTCCCTAGCATTCGCACTGCGGAGCAAGCCTGGAATCACAGCTAATGCTCTTGCACCCATTTCCGGGTCATGCCATCGAAAAAAATTGCACCTATCAACCCTCTGTTTTTTAACCATTTCTTATCATATTCCAATTGAAGTTCACGGAAAGTACTTACAAGATATAGAGGGCAACTCAAGCATCTTCTCCCGAGATTATCATCCTTCCAGCATGTAGTCAACTTTGCAACCAGCTCACATCTACAAAATACCACACCATTTCCATCCATTTGATCGATTTAGTCCCTAGGCGGTTAGGGTTTTTTTTTTTTTACGTTTCACTGCAGTTCACTATTTCTGCCTTTTATTTTACTTTTTCAGCATTTAAATTTTCTTTTATTTTTCTTTGGTCAAAGTTGACATTAGTCAACAAATTTTAAAAAAATAAAGAACATAACGGTCGAGCAAAAATGGACCGTTAATTCACATAAATTGAGGTAAAGGGACTACATTTTTTTGTTTTAAGGACTAAAATTGACCATCAAAACATAATAGGGATTAACTCTGGATACCCCTAAACATGGAGGACTAAAAGTGGATTTTTTCCAATTATAGGGACTACATTTTTTTGTTTTAAGGACTAAAATTGGGCACCAAAACATAATAGGGACTCAGTTTGGATACCCCCTAAACATGGAGGACCAAAAGTGGACCTTCCCCTTTAATAATTTATTCCGTACTTGACTCTTTTATAAGAACAGGTTAAATGAAAAGAAAAGACCATTTGGTTGAAGGAAAATTGAGAGAAATGGGTGAGCCAAAAAAAAACTGACATATTTAAGTAGAATCCAAAATTAAAAATACTAAAGTTCACAAAAGGATTTGAGATAGATTACGGAACCGCAAACAAACTGGAAAGCAAAGCGATTATTCAATTTTTAGGTTATTTTGTGTGTATGCTCTTATCGCTTTTAAGTTTTAACCCGAATAAGAGGACAACGATATTCGGTCCAAATATCCGGTCCAAATATCTTGCAACTTAATTAATAAAAATATATACTTATATTATAAACTACTAGTGCGTGGCCCGTGCGATGCACGGAAAAACAATATTATGATTGTATTATAAATTAAATATATATATAACATTAATCATGATTTATTCATTGTTTTTGAATACGGGTTGGACACAGTCCAACCGGATGGATCAAGCACTGGTTTATAACCAGTCTAGTTCGCTTTAATAAAATATTTGCTCCCGAATCCGTCAACACCAGTCGATTATTTGAAGTTTGACTACATCACATTCACGTAATAAAATATTTTCAATATAAAATTTATATTTAGGTTCAATAATCGATTTGGTGTGGTCGAACTGATACATAATTTAGTCACTTGGGACCAACCACGTTGTGTCAAATTTTTTGACTATTTTAAATGTCACCTAAAAGTAATACAATCAACCTGGGCAGTACCCTAATTCAATCACTCGATTGATCTGAAGAAATTTTCTTATTTTCTTTAAATATATTTAATTTTATGAAATAAAAATATTTTATGATTCATATAATAAAGGTCTACACCAACTGATAGTATATTAAGATTATAAATTATATATCTAAAGATGAATTAATTATTTTTACTTTATGCATATTACTAAAAAATAAACATAGTAATTTTAAAAAATTAGAATTAATTGATTGATTATGCAATTTAAAGAATATTTTTTAGTGTTCAATATTTTTTTAAAGGCACAAATATAAAGACCGAGATTCTAAAACTTTTGTTATATTTTGAATTAAGATTTTATAAATATAGAGACCGGGATTTTAATGTTGCTCATTGTTTCTAAGAAAAAAATCAAAATAAAAACATACGCACTTAATAAATCTTAGCCTGATTTTTTAAATAATGACATGAACTAAAGCCCAAAATTTAAGGTAACATTTAATGCTATATGATTTTTAAAGAAAAAAATAAGAAAATTAATAAAACTTACTATTTATAGGCTGCATTAAATTTTGACCTATTCTTTTGCTACTATTTTTGGTAAATAGTAATTCTTATTATATATATATATATAAGAATTATATATAATAAGAATTATATATCAAAAATAGTATATATAATAAGAATTATATATATATAATAAGAATTACTATTTATCAAAAATAGTAAGTCAATCCTTAGTCAAAACTGGTCAATATTAATTACATGTCATTTATAGTATCTTTTTAAAATCTTTTTTTAATAAAAGACAGACAACATTAAATGTTGTCCTTAAAATGAGGAGTTTGTTACTTTTTTATTTTAAAAAAAGCGGGCTGCTATTTAAATTTGGCCTATTGAATATTTGCGATGATTTGACACGATGTGCATATCAAAAGCTGATAATGCACGGGCTGCATCAATTAAATTTGGTTATTGGTTAGCTATTTTTAAATTTGAATAAAAATGTACATCACGACTGCTAATTCAATTAAATATCTGTCAATTATATTCTTCAAATTTAAAACCAGATATTCGGCTAATACAACTGCTTTGCTTGGCAACTTTTTTTTAATAAAAAAATTAAGACTGATTTAATAAAAAAAAATTATGTGTTATTTTTTCCAACCATAAAAATATACTTTTTATTTTCAAAATACCGAAACTTTTTTTTCTATAAAATTGGGTAATACATATGTTTTGATTAACATATTTTATTTAAAAAAAAATTAAGGCTAATTTAAGTGTAAAAATAAAAAATAAAAAATTCATTTGTTTATTTCTTTTGAAAACATTTTTTCTAACCATCAAATCGGGTTGTTTCAATTGAAAGAATAAAGTTGCGGCTGATTCAGTTATTTTGTTTGACAATTATTTATAATGAAAAATAATACACGGGTCTAATTTTGAAACGATCAAAATTTTTACGATTTTTGTTTAAATCAGAGATTAGAAATAAGAATAACCTCCATATTTAAATTGCTTTAATTGTAAAACGTGATGTACACAAGATTTTGATAGATTTATCACATATCTCCCCTAAATTAATGATTTTATTTTTTTCTAAATTTCAAAATACCAAATCCTAAAGTTGCGGTTGATTTAATTATTAAACGATATTTTGCAATCTTAGATTCGGGTTATTTTCAAATTCAAAATTTAATTGCCGATATGTAAATAAATTTGGACATATTAAATACATATGATCCTAAAATGAAGGATTTTATTCCATTAAAAAACATAAAATATGAACTTAAGATGTAGATTTTATTATGCACGTCTGATAATACAATTTTACATGCTATGAAAGTCATATTGTTTACCCGTGCATCGCACGGGCTACGCACTAGTTATATATTGATAGATTACGCTTTTATAATTTTGTGTTTAATAATTTAATATTTTAATTTAAAAGTGAAAAAAAAAACATATTATTTGAACACATTTCAGCTGGAAGCCTAGAATTCAAAAACGCTTCTCAGTTCTCTCTTCTTTTTAGGGTTTCCTTGTAGCTTCGTTAGTCCCAATTTGCGAAACTCTAAGATTTGATTTACAATCTCCCCCAATTTTGTTCGCGATTCATTGGCTGGTTGGACGCTTAGCTCAGATTTTTGCAATGCCCAGGTATATGTTCATTAATTCGTCTGTTTTCTTGTTCTTTTTTCCTCATTTGATTTGATTAAAACGGTTCTTTGTTTTTCGTTTTGTTTCTTCAGGTACTACTGTGACTACTGCGACACATACCTGACGCATGATTCGGTGGGTTATACCTTCTTCGACCTTTTTCCTTAAATGTTTATGTCCTATTGTTTATCGTTTTTGTTGTCCATCAACTTTTGTTTACTATTTGCTGGTTGCATTAGAAGATATTCAGGTTGATTTCATTGGGTGGATGAAGGGGAAAAAAAAAAGAAAAAGAAAAAAATGGGTTAAAATTTGTGGGATTATATTGTTTGCTAAATGGCAGACGGTCTCATATTTGTTTTAGCATGCATTTATCCACACGAATTGTGATGTTTTCCTCGGTTGATTGATTTTTGGTTGTGAACCAAAAAATGAAATCAAATAGAAAGCAATCCCCAATTAGTTAATTTAGAATTTGTTATAATGGAAGAACAATGTATCTTGTGACATCATGATCCTACTTTTATCTGTGCTTGATTTTGAAAGAGGAATGTCTGAATCTTGATAGTTTTTGTTTTTTAACTTTTTCTACTGCAGCCTTCGGTTAGAAAACAACATAACGCAGGGTACAAACACAAGGTAAACTCTCTTCCTAAACTTTATTCTTTTTCTCTTTTGGGGTTTCAAAATCATTATACATTTCATTACATTATTATGAGCAGAACAATGTAAGAAACTACTATCAACAATATGAAGCACAATTAAATCAAAGCTTGATAGATCAAAGAGTGAAGGAACATCTAGGGATGGCATTTAGGCCTCCTATGGCTCCTTTTAACCAGCTGAGGCCCGGTTTTGCAATGGTAGCTGCACCTTTACCAGTTCCAGGGCAGTTGCCTATTGGTGCCCAATTAGTCCCTGGTTTTAGACCTCCGGTTTTGCCGAGACCCATGCCTGGAGTTCCAGGTATGTGAATTTTTGCGCGAAAAGCTATATATATATATATATATATATATATATTTATCAAGTGTGTATTTTGTGTATGTTTGAGGCACTTTTTTCTTGGGAAGCAGTCATTTTGTGCATGTCAGTCATGAGTGGTGAGTGATTAGTTGTTTCAATACAGCAATGAAAATTCATGCTAGTTCTGTTTTGTACATGTGATAGTAACACCAAATTTGTGTTTAGTGTTTGCGAGATTTTAGGGGTTATTTGTGTTTGAATCGACTGGTTTTAACTGGATATACTCTAAGCAGAGGCAGATTCACTTATAGACCAGTGAGGGCCTAGAAAAAATCAGTCATTCAACAGGCACGCAGTCAGAGCCCTTTGTAAGCTAAGAATTTGAAACGAAAATTTGAATATAGTGAAAGAGCTGCATTCCCACATATACAATCATACTTGTGATTTAGGTTAGAAAGATGAAAATGCAACAACACAATTTTATCCTTACTTACATCGTTAAAGTTTAATGGACTAAGATGTATCTGATGGGCCTCTATCTGGCGCATCTCTTCTCTTCATTTCTCTATTTATCTATTTTTTCACAAGATGAAAACTAGCAAGTTGTTTCTCAAACAATTATGTTAATTGCTAGTGACAAGAAAAATTTAATCTTTCGTCACATAAATAAGTTTATAAATCAATAAATGATTTAGTTACTTAATTATTTATTGAATTTTTCAAAGATCGTGAAATTTTGTAAACTTTAAATGATATTCAATAGTACACCCTCCATTTTGAAATATAAGACGTATAAAGATTTCTCAATTTTTTTGAAATATAAGGCGCGCTAAAAAATCAAGACAAATTTTTGCATTTTTTTCCAAATATACCCTCATTGTGTTGAAATTAAGGAAGTGTGGAGTGGTTGTGATTAGAGTAAATAAGGTTAATTTAGTCAATTTATTCATTAATTAATGTCTCCTTAATATTTGTGCAATAACCTTAAATGCCTTATATTTCAAAATGATGGGAGTATTTGATATTATTTATTTATATTACAGAACTGTTTATCGCATGTATATGTGCTCTAATGAGTTTAGTAACCAGCGTAGTATTTTTTATATAAATATATACTTGGGAAAAGAAATGTCCAAACAACATTTTATATGAGACTTCTTTGAGCCTTCAAAATAGAGTTAGTCCTGCACACAATAAATTTCTAGATATCCCCCAATCCTAAGAATCGTTTACATTTATTTAATATGCAGTTTATTTGTTTGTTCGAAGTATGCATCAATAAAATTATCATCAAACGTGATGCTCGAGTAGTGCACAATTGATAACTATAATACCCATTATAATAACATCTCTGTCTAACTTCTCATCATCAAACATTAATTTCACAAGTTACTTTCATGTTTCATAGTATTATTTGATATCAAATAGTGTCTCGTGATAAAAATAAATAATAAGATGAGTGAGATTATTCGTTCTTAACTACACTCTCAGACATAAATGAAATCCTTTTGGTTAATGTTTGTGTTTTTTGTTTTTTTTTTTTGTTTTTTCTGTATTTTTAACAGGCTATGCAACTGGTCCTCCCATGCCACAAATGGCACTCTCTCCCGGAGCTCCTTTGACCGGTCAACCAAACGGTATTCAAAGGCCCGTGACAGCTGTAATTCCGACCAGTGGTGGGCCACCAATTTATGTTGGTGATGGTTCTACCGTTGATGCTCAGGCACCTGAGGCTAAGTAGTAATTGCTTTGAGTTTTGTCTGTATTCTTTAGGGAGAATGTTTCATGGGAGTTTGTGTACAAAGAATTTTGTGAAACTTTAAAATTATTGCTCTGAAGGTCCCCAGTCTTGCAGATATTGGCAGATTTGGTTTTGTTCATCAGGATCCCTAGATTGTGTAGTTATCTCAGATTGTTCATGTTCATTTCACTTAAAGAGACATCAAACTAAACCAAATGGGTCAAGTCCAATGAAACTTATGGCACTTTGTAGTTGATTAATGGAGTCCAATTATTTGAAGAATCTTCTAGAATCAAGTTGAATTGCACAACCATTATGAAGAGCAAACACACACACACACATACATATATGTATACATATATTTTGTTTTGCCTAAATACTACAAGCCTTAATAATAGATGAAATGAACATCAGTAATTCATAAATCACTAGTAAATTTGCAGAGTCTGTGAAAACAGTTAACCCTGTTAAAACAATTAGTAATTTGCTCTGTTGAGTGACAAGAATTTCAAGGACATTTTGAAATTAGCAGCAAACAGCCATCGAGCAAAAGGACAGTATCAACCTAATCCACCATGTGCTTCCACACCAAAATTCCATCTATCAATTCTTGTTTTTTGTCCCTTAGCCTCTCTACATGTCTTACTCTTTCACCTCACTGCACCCCCCACTCACATCCTGCCACGTGTCACTCCATGCCTCCCCATCATTTCTCCAAACATTTTAAACTCCAGTACCCTCCTTAATCATTTCACTCATTCTGATTCCTAGCAACTCTGAAAATTCATTCTCCTTAGAAAG